TATATATATATATATATATATATATATATATATATATATATATATATGTATATATGTATATATATACATAGTACGGGGCCCCAACATGAATTTGTTTATCTATACAAACACAACCGGGAGGCTGTAGACGCCTCGATGCAGCCAGCAGCAGCTGCTGCAGTGCTGCGGTGTACATACACCTCAGAGGCATACAAAGTGTATTTGTTTGGGTTTTAAGAGGTTTATATATTTCTCTATTTCAGGTGTATGCTCAGCTAAACCCTAAACCCTAAACCCTCGGCTGCAGCGAGCACGCAGCATCGATACAGTGCGTGCGTGTGCCTAGGGGGAAACCGGCGGAATATGGGGGTTTTTTTTCTTTTATTTTGTTTTATTTTTAGATTTAAAAAGTAAATATTTATAAAATATATTTAAAAAAAGAAAAAAAGCAAAAAAACAACAACAGGAGAGCTGCTGGGTGGGGGCCGCAGCCGTAGCGGCGCNAAAAAAAGAAAAAAAGCAAAAAAACAACAACAGGAGAGCTGCTGGGTGGGGGCCGCAGCCGTAGCGGCGCGTCGGCGGTGGCGGTAGCAGCCAACTGCATCTGTCTATACACCCCAATATGCCGTTTCTTTTTGTGTTTTTTCAGCATTTTACACTTTAATTTACTTCCCTTATTCTATTATACAGATATTTATCCCGAAATATCCTTTTCTAGCTGCCTACTAGCTCGACTCACCCCGCCGCCGACGAGCGGCGGTGAGCTTGGGGTTGGTGAGCTGCCTATACACCCGAGAGCTTGGGCCTCAACGCCCCTCGTTTTTTCTCTTTTTTTTCAGTTTAGAGCTTTTTAAATAAACATTTACAGCATGGAGAACTCAAAAGAAGCAGAAGGAGCATCTGCTGAGTGGATAGAGCAGCTCGCTCTCACCAGCTGTACCGACACCCTGCAGCTACCACCCAATAAACAAACAGAAACTGCTGCGGATCCCTCTACTGCTCCTTGTTCTTCAGACGAAGAAAAAAGTGAAGATGATTCATCTGGTCGTGTTTTGGGGGTTCACGCTGAGCGCGACGGTGTACATACACCCGAAGGTGTTGCAGCAGCAACCTGCATCGATACAAGCAGCAGAGGCAGCAGCAGCAGCAGCAGCGCAGCAGCAGAAACTGACTCAGCTGATGAAGATCTCAGCCCCTTCTGTGTCCCGGAGATGCCCTGCCGCTCCCCCTCTCCAGACCCCCTAGCTGCCGAGACACTCGAGCTGCCTGTACTGCCACCCAGCAGCAGCAGCAGCAGCAGCAGCAGCAGCA